TCCGCTGCACTAATTACCCCCCCCCTCTTAGTGCCGCTCCGATCCTAACACAAGAGCACTAAGAGGGGGGGGGTGAATTAGTGCAGTGGAAATCTTTCGACGATAAAAAAACGTTCGAACGATAAAAACGATTTCCGTGTGAAAGCCGATTCTAAGATTACTTTAACTTAAGATCAAGCGAGATGACGTTAAAGTCAATCTATGAAGGTAGTTTGCAGTTATGATGAAAACCAGAATATAAGCGCAAACTGAAATATGACGTTCGTACGAAGAAACTGATTTACGTCTAAATGCTTATTCGTAAATCACTTGATTAGGCGAGATGCAGCTTAAGCAAGGATATAAAGGCAGTTTGCAGTTAAGATAGAAATCAAAACGTAAACGCAAACTGAAATATGATGATCGTACAAAAAAAATAGATTTACGTCTAAACGTTGATTCGGAAAGTGCAAAGCTAAAACCCGATCGTATATGCGCAGAAAGCAGTAAGCTTTAGAGGAGGTTTGTAGTAAAGATAAAATGCTCAAAGTAAATGCAAACCGAGATTTAGAGTGATCCGGTCAATCTTGACCTACTCCACTTTTGGCTTCCTCCACCGACGAGGTCACCGACGTCAACTAGAGGCCTTCCTTCAATAGGTGAAGGCCAACCACCCTTTTACAGTTTCACTCCTTTTGACGGGCTTAGGAGACAACCCTTACAGAATTTTCTCTCCTCTCTTTACAGCTCATAACTTGGAAGAAAGGAGGGAGAAGAACTTTTTGGCCTTTACAACAATTTTGAGCTCTAAAAATCACAGAATAAGATCAAGATTTCGGTGTGTATTCTGTATCCTTTCAGTGCTGAATGGGTGGGGTATTTATAGGCCCCAACCCAGTTCAAATTTGGAGCTCAAAACTGTCAATTTTCGGAATTCTGGGATCAGGCGGTTGCACCTCCTGATTGGAGCGGTTGGACCGCCTGGTAGAGCTCGAAGACTAAGCCTCTGGGCAGTGCTACCTCCTGTCAGGGGCGGTTGCACCTCCTGCCAGAGCTCGAAGACCGAGCTCAGGCGGTGCCACCCCTTGACTGAGGCGGTTGCACCTCCTGCCAGAGCTCGAAGACCGAGCTCAAGCGGTGCCACCTCCTGTCAGGGGAGGTTGCACCGCCCAATCTCGCTCGGAGACTGAGCCCAGGTGGTGCCACCTCCTGGCTGGGGCGGTTGCACCTCCCAACAGAAATCAGGGTCCGAATGGGTTGATCCATTCGGCCCAATTTGGATTTTTCAGGGGCCTAATTGTCCCAAGATTAAGTTAATGGGATCACCTCCCATTTCCAACTTAATCATTGTTCTAACTACGATATTTCCTAAGACATTTACTGCAACTTGCTCCGGTGCGTCAATCGCTTCTTCCGGCGAACTTCCGTCGATCATTCGATGAACCCTCGGTGATGCTCCTGCGGACTTCCGGCAAACTCCTAGACTTGCGACGATCCACTTGGCGAGTTCCGAGAAGCTTCTTTGGCAAGCTCATGGACTTCTCGAATTTGTTCCCGCAGAACCTCCGACGACTGTCCGAACTTCCGTCGAACTCTCGAACTCCCAACGTGATCATTGTCTTGACTCCGGCGCAACTCCTGCTGCATGTCTTACTTTCATCGTAGTTAATCCTGCACATGTAAAACAAAACTTTGATCGAGACAATTAATCCTAAGCAATTAACCAAGTTGTCCGGCATGTCATTGGTCCCTCGACGCTTTGTCCGATTCTTCGGCGCATCGTCCTCTCCTGTAGCCTATTGCCCAATCGGCCAGTTGACTCCGCAACTCCGATATCCTTGGCACAATACCCGCTCTTCTTGGCCCGATGCCCGAGTCCACGGCTCGAAGCCTTCTATCGATACGTCGACCGATCTACCGACCCGACGTCCAATCTTCTGACATGTTCCTCCGGCACAACATGATTTTCCTGCTTTAATTGTCTCATCCTGATCGAAGCATCCTGTGTCACTTAAAACGCAGATTAAATCATAAACATATATCAAGTGGTTTCATCATCAAAATATGAGATTCAACAAGTGGTACCGTTAGTACCCTGAAATCCAAGGATGTGACACTTTTTTGTTCTAATTATGAAGCCATTATGGCCTATAAATATCCCACCCTTTTCTGCATGAAAAGACACGAAAGTGTGAACAAAATATTGAAGTCTTGGGGTATGAAAGTATTGTAAAAGTGAAAAGAGTCCTCCTCCTCCCTTTCTAAGTATTGTGATCATTCAAGAGATGTGTGAGACTTGTAAGGGTTATCTCCTAAATCCGTGAAAAGGAGAAAATACTATAAAGAGATAGTTAGTCTTCACCTATTGAAAGAAGACCATTAGTAGACGCCGGTGACCTCGACGAAGGAGGAATCGGAAGTGAATATAGGTCACAACGACCGAACCACTATAAATTTCGATATGCTCATTTTCATTCTGCTTTTCATTACTATCATTATTTTCTAAGTTAATTGCTAGTTCATTTACTTTAAAGTCAAGCACTTTTCGAGATTGATTTTTAACGAATGAAAAATTTACAAAACCGACGATTTTTCCGTTGCACTAATTCATCCCCCCTCTTATAGTGCTGCTCTTGATTGTAACACATTACGCTTGTTGCACTATGCTTAACGTAAATATTAATGCTTATGTATGTCTATCCAATATTTTATAGAATACTAAGAATGATATTTTTTGGAAAGCATATACTGAAATATTAAAAGTTAAAAACATGAGTATATCATTTATCATATTTACTAAACATATGAAGTGAGAGTAACATATACAAATTATTTATTCTTCTATTAACATTCTAGTTGTAATTCAATATACGTGATACTCGAGCATCTTTATAATTATAATTTTATTCTCCTTAAACAAATTAACTTAATATTGTAGTTTGTAGCCAAAACTTATAATTTGGATGAACGAGGGTTATTTAAAAACTAAATATTATCATCCTTTGGTCCCTATCTATAGGATAAATAATTTTATTCATCATCTCAGTAAGGGCATAGAGATTATCACTAATCTTTTGGATGTTTCTAATAAATTTGTATTATGTTCTAGCCTATGGAGAATTGACAATATCTATGGATCTTTTTCTAATTTTGGATGATCAATCACCCATAACCAGGGCTTATCTTTTATTGACAGAGACGAGGTGGTTCGCCCTTTCAATAGATATGTGATATATGATGCTTTTTCTCCTTTTTAGTTGGTTAATAGTCTAAGGCCAAAAGGTTTTACTATCAAGTTTTATCATTTCAATTTAGATATCATCTTTGATTTGTTGATTCAAGCGTTTCAACACTTGTATGATCATAATTTTTTTTTCCCTTTGATTAGATTAAGACTTTTATTATATTTATTCTAAAAATTAAGAATTCCCAAGAGATTAAGGATTTTTGTCCTATTTCTCTTTGAAATATCAATTACCATATTCTTATGAAAGTATTAGCCAATCATTTCAAAATACACTCAAATTCTCTTATCTCATATGAGGAGTTTGATTTCACTTAGGATCATTCGATTTATGATAATATCTTGGTGGTCCAATAGATGACTCACTTCTTAAACAACTTTAAGAGTAGGAATCCTTATATCATTCTTAAATTTGATATGTAAAAAAATATATAATCGACTTTGGTGATATGCAATTTTAAAAGTTTTCTACTTAGATAATTTCTAGATAAATTTATTAATTAAATTATAACTTATGTTTCTATCCTAACTTTTGCTTGTGTCCTAAATTTGGTCATCCCTCTTTTTTTTTTTTTTTTTTCAAAAGGAAAAAAGAAGCAATAGGCAATGTTTACACCATTCTCATTTTGGCTCAAATTTTGACCTTCTTATTTGATGCTTGCTTTAGAGTATATTTATCTCGGACTTTCAAGATTTGTCATTAAATATATAAATATTTTATTATACTTTTATACTAACAAATGGTCTTATCAAACCATTTGTCACATGTTTGAGTCGTATGAAACTCTTGCTTGCTAATAAGAAGGTGAATGTGTCTAAATATGAACTTTTATTTTTATTCCCTAAAAGTATTAGTAAGATCAAGAGGGATATTTTACTGGATGAGTTAAGCCAATTTATGATGGTTTCAAGGTCTAGGGCTTATTTTTCACATACTAATGATCCCATTTTTGTTGGATGTATTGATCCTATTTTTGTTGGATATATATATTCACGTGGTGACTTAACGGTACATTTTTTTTTTCCGAAGAAAGTATTGGAAAAGAGTAGGAAACAGAGGGCAACATTGGATACTACCTAACCAAATCCAGTCATGTGGTGGCAAGCAGCACGAAGCTGTCACAGATCGCACGCGGAACGCCATGGCCCAAACCTCGCCTCCCCCTCCTCGGCCATGTGATCCCCACACGTCACTGCTTTCGATGGGTTCGGTTCACACCGCCGCGGAAGAAGCAAGGCATCAGATGAGTGGCGATGGGCGTGCATGCAGTAGGCGGTACAGCGCAGGACGAGCCCAAGCCCTCGCACCCATGTCGATTGCGGCCTCGATCGGGATATTTTAGCGCCTCGGGTGCGGCGATTTAGAGGAGAACTAGATTTGCAGTGGATCTCGTCGTCTCCTTGACCACGATAATAGATTTCCGCATCAAACGGTCTGCTGACTCGAAACCCAGCTTTGGCATCTTGTCGTCTCCTTGGCACCGCAATCCGCGCTTCCCTCTCTGTCTCTGCCCGCCATCATACTATAAGCCGACAGATCTGCCCCCTGGTTTTGCTCTCTAAAGCTACTCCCTCTCTCTCTCTCTCCCCCGGAAGCTGGTTCGTTTTGCAGCAGGTGTGGGTTGCTGAGAAGTGACGCAGATTTGCAGAGGATGGCGAGCCATCTCCTCCGCCAGCCTCGTTGGGTGCTGGTTGCAGTGGCGCCTGCCTTGTTGTTTTTGTCGTTGGTTGTGCCCTTTTCGGCGGCGAAGCTGACCACTGGGTACTACCGGAAGTCCTGCCCCAGGGTGGAGCAGATCGTGTCGGACGTGGTGACCAACAAGCAGATCAGCAGCCCCACCACGGCCGCTGGCGCGCTTCGGCTCTTCTTCCATGACTGCTTCGTGGGCGGCTGCGACGCATCCGTGCTCGTCTCCACCAATGCTTTCAACCGCGCGGAGCGGGACGCGGACATCAACCTGTCGCTCCCGGGGGACGCCTTCGACGCCGTGGTCCGCGCGAAGACGGCCCTGGAGCTGCAGTGCCCCGGCACCGTCTCCTGCGCCGACATCCTAGCGCTGGCCACCCGCGACCTGGTGTCCATGCTCGGCGGGCCCTTCTACGCCGTGCCGCTGGGCCGCAAGGACGGCCTCGCCTCCCACGCCGCCTCCGTCGAGGGCAACCTCCCCCGTCCTAACATGACCATGGACGCCATGATCGCCCTCTTCGCCGCAAAGGGCTTCACCGAGCAGGAGATGGTCGCCCTCGCCGGCGCCCACACGGTGGGCTTCTCCCACTGCAAGGAGTTCGCGGCGCGGATCTTCCGGTACAAGGCCGGCGAGCCGAGCGCGTTCGACCCGTCCATGGACCCGCGCTTCGCGCAGGCGCTGCAGAAGGCCTGCTCCAAGTACCTCGAGGACGACACCATCGCCACCTTCAATGACGTCATGACGCCGGGGAAGTTCGACAACATGTACTACCTGAACCTGAAGAGGGGGCTGGGGCTGCTGGCCTCCGACCACGCGCTGGTGGCGGACCGGAGGACGAAGCCCCTGGTCGACCTCTACGCCGCGAACCAGTCGGCCTTCTTCCGGGACTTCAGCCGCGCGATGCTGAAGCTCGGCCTGGTCGGGGTGAAGACCGGAAGGAAAGGGGAGGTCCGCCGGAGGTGCCGCGACTTCAACAACCTCTCCACCTGAACCAAGATTTCCACAACGAGATTGCTGTTGCCATAGCTTCCACTATTATCTGTCTCAAACAGTGGGTAGAGTTAGATTGGTCAGGAAAGCAGGGGAGGGGATCCAACCGAGGCTTCTCCTTCATGCTTTCTCTATAGATCGATCACTTGATACATATAAGCCGAGGAGGGGTTTGCATTTCGTTGATTTGGAGCTCTCCTCGATCGGATTTGCCCGTTTTTCCTATGTAGCGGTGATTTGATAGCAGCTGAACGAAACTTGGCCCTTTTTTCTTATTTGGATGCTCTGTTTCATCGTGCATGGCGTCAGTATCAGTCGGCGACATATTTGTATGCATGAGATGAGCTTAAAGAAGTTGAGCTGATGGAAAGAGCAATCTGAAAACGAGGCACGGTTTCTTCTCAGCATGTTTCGTACGGCTGCAGAGATGAGAAGAGCTCGGGTCTGCCGTTTGGGCGAGTGGTGTGTCATGGAAAGTGCATGACCGCTGCAATTGTCCGTGAAACGCATTCATGGCAACCCATCACCTCCATCAGCATTCAATGAACAATCTTCTTCTGGACTGCAAAGGATCCCTGTGAGAATTTGCTGCTACGTTGAAGGCTCTGCTACTTGGGAGACAGTGATTGACGTGCATATCTTATCACCAGTTTGAACTGAAAAGCTTGATATGGAATGGACTAATAGTGCATAAATCCTCGTCTCTTCATGTTTTGTTTGGCCAATTTCTATACCTTGGAATTATTTCTATTGTACTGCTGGGAAAGTCGTGTGATGACTGGCCCAAGTAGCGAGTAGAAGAGAGGTTGGTGGTGGAAAGGCTCTCTGATTGATGTGGAGATGAAGGGGGGGTAAGGAGAAGGAAGAGAAACCAAAGTGGAGGTGATGCTAGCTGTCGCTACTACCACTACGTTTACCCTTTCCTCGACTTCCCCGTCATCATCATCTCCCAGGAAAGTTGGTTTACAATCGTGGACAAGAAGAGTCTGTCTTCTTCAAGAGAGCGAGGAGAGTTACCGTTCCTGTTCCCTTTTCTTTTTGTTTAGTCTTTTTAGTTCCCCCATCTCCCAATAGGCGCAAAAAGGGCGAGCACGCGCGATCCAAATCCCCAAAACATGGGAGAAGACGAGGGAGGGCCGTAAAGATCGCAGCAAACTGCAGTTGGTTTGTACGTACCGCAGCTCGCGTACTCTTACGTGAGTCAGACTCACACAAATTAGATTGATATTAAGTTCTTGACACCGGTTTTATAGTGATATATATATATATATATATATATACACTAACTTAACAATATCAAACAAGTAATATTCATTAAGACCTTTTTTGTCTCAAGAATAGTAACGGATATAATATACCACAAATTTCATACGGTTTGAATTAGATTAATTCTCCAAAATCGTACCATCCAAAACTCAATTAACTAATCAATATAAAATTCAAAGTTTTGCATGGGATTTTCAATTATCATAGACAGAATATTTAAGTCATGAAGTAGATTATGGATTTTAAAAAGTTATTTGACAAGTTTCAACTAAATCCTCCCATCAAACAGGGCTGATTATCATAACTCAAATTTCAATGAACCAATTAGTATTTATGAAGAAAAAATCCAAGAAAATTTTACTAATAATAACAAAAGACATTTAAATGCTCTTTTTCTTAACTAAAGATTACTTTCTTTTGTACAAAACTCAATCACCAAAAGAATTTAATAAAAGAAAATATAGCTAACGTGTTGTGCTGCTGGATTTCTTTTTCCTTCATCTAAGAAGAGTCAAACTAATAACAATTTAGAATTTTCTTCAGCAGGTGCAACAAAACCCACAAAATAGCCTCAAATTACCCCTAATCATGATCCAGTCAAACTAGTTTAAGCAGCAGGAGGATAGTGGTAAAGAACATGTGCAAGATTAAGTTCTTAAGGCTGGTTATTGCGCTTGTGTGGATAGGTAAATGTTCAAACACTGGTGTTACTGTATATTATTGGTATTTCACCTTCAGAACTTCTTTAAGACCTGAAGGAATTAATTAACTTTAAACAGCAGGATTTGATGAGAGTCGCTAAAACCCTGAAAAATCCTCTATGTTGCCGACTCAAGTGCTTGATACTTTATTGCGCACATTGCTAATGCAAATGTGAAGATTTGGTTAATAAATGAAATGTAATTTGGCTAGATGTTTTAACAAACACAACACAGGTAAAGCATGTTGTAACACTTACAGAGTGCACAAAGTACTGCCCGATTTAGTCGCCTGCTTCATGTTGTGCTGTGCAACCCGCATTCGAGCCTGATGGCTTCTATAAGCTGGGGAGACACTATTTCCTGAACTCCTGATGGCTTGGCATCTCTTTCCCTGACCCCTCCAGGTGACTCACCTTCTCCCCATCCTCTGTATAAGATCACTTTGTTGGGCTCTCTCGACACAAGAACAGACCCAGTTGCTTGCTGAGTATATAAAACGAGGAGATAGAGAATGAATCAGTGTTGTGTTAGATTATAAACTTCGCCAGGACCGAGCGGAACATACCTCAAGTTCAAATATCAATTCCTGTACAGAAGTCCCCTTTGCTCTTCCCTTGATATTCACAATGGCAAGAGGATACTTCATGAAGTGTGTTCTTATTGTTTTTGCAACACCTGAAATGATGTTGTTCCTCCCTGCAAACAAATGAAGTTCAGCATAGTCTATAAACCAAGCCCAATTCAATTCATGAGCATGATGCTTGACAACTTTGGAGCATTCCAACACAGTCAAACACCCACAGATTTAAGAAACATTACAAATCACATATATCTTCAATCCACATTAAGGATTCAGTGAATCGACATCATTGGAAAGGTTATTTAACCAAATCCATGCAGTGGAATGATACTTAAAGAGAATATGATCACAACAAAAGGGTGGGTGTTTCACCAAGAGTTTGACAATATGGTGTAAAAGATATATTTCTCTTTGAAATATGAAGGATTACATTATTGCACATTCAGCAAAGTAGATAAACACTATCAAAGCAAGACAATTTCCTAAAACGAAAAACTAATTCAGAACATTTAAAACTTTAATTTGCATGAAAAAAATGAGAATTAAGTATTACCAACAGCTAAAACTGGGCGTTTTTTCATTTTGAGGGCTTGTTTACGCAGAACGAGTCTTTCTCGATTTGATAGAGGTGCAGCCTTGAAAGGAACTTCAACATAAGCCTCCTTTACTGATGTATCCTCAGCAACAGGGGAGTCACCCATTACAGAAGATGACACCGGAGCTCGTTGCTAAAAATAAAAAAACACGCAAACATGTAAATAAATGAGAAAATAAAACATGTGAACTTAAAACTAAGAAAAAGAAAAAAAAATGATAGGTCTCTCTGGATGGTGATTAATAATGAACATTAGTACCGATTCGATAGATAACAGACTAATCTTCGGATACAAAAGAGGCTTATCAGAATTACATCAATTTCCATCCTTAGGTACTAATTCTCACCTCCAGGACAAACTGAGCAACTTTAGTATCAGAGTGATTGTCTTTATGTTTTAGATCTATCAACTTATCCTGCCACAATAAATGGAATATGACAAAATAAGATAATTAAATAATCAGGATGAAAGGCCAATCCAGAGTTGAATTCAACACATACCTTTGAACTACTCTCAGAAGAATAATCCATTTCATCAAATGCGGTACTGACAGATTGTTTCATATCATTTGTGATATCAGAAGACTCTCCCACATGCAGGGGCTCTGAATCAGTGTCATGCACTCCCTTCACCATAGTTCACCAATTACAAGAAAATAACACATAAGAAACTAGATCATCAATAACTAAATTCATGGTATACCAGGTTGCCACAAAATTGCAGCAGATATGCATAAAGTTCATCTTTACATGGAACAAAAGCAGGAGATGCATTAAGCACAGACGGCAGAGTTATGCTATGTATATTTATCTTGAAATAGTAACTAAAGTTAATTAAAATAATATAGATTAATTGTTCAGCATTCTTTTTTTACACATGGGCCACAAGGTGCTGAGTACAAATGAAGTGAGCATAACCATCAAACATGTCCCTGCTTGTGGGAACATTGTTCAGAAAAATCTGCAACTAAACATAGAAATAAACAGAAGACATTATATTTATATCACACTAAAAAATATTCATGTTCTTAGATTCAAATTTTACTGAACATCAAAATATAGTTTTCCTGAAAAACAACATATGAACATGTCGTTTTTGTTTGATATAAACCTGAGTTTGGCATTAACCAATTAGAAATAATTAATGGCAAAATAGAGGAACAAAGAGACCATATTCTGTAAACTACATCATATAACCTGCATGTATGGGTTTTCAGATCCATACGCAATAATGATCAAATGGATTAACCATGGCATTAAGTAGCAGCTTTAACTGTTTAGGTAATCCAAAATACAAATCTTGTACTAAATTTACCCATTGAAAAAACATCAATTGAACCTATCACATGCCCTGCATACGAAGGTTTTTTGGATCCATATTAAAGGACAAATAGGTTCATTATTTTAGCATCAAGAGGCAGTGTAACTCATTTAATTGCTTTAAACTTTTATTATAGTTGCCCATTTGGAAGCATCCATGTAGCCCATCAAGATGAAACCACTGTCAGGATGACATCATGGTGTAATTTTTGGAAACCATAAGAACCATTTGGTATGGTTTTTATACTGAATTTGTATAATTTTCAGCTTCCTTCAAAGGAATAATTACCTCACAGTCTACAGAATTGTTGTCCTCCATTTCACCAAACCCAGTTTCATCAGTTGTTGCAATTACGTTGCTTGATGTCATACACTTGTCTACTGCCACAGAGTCAATCAGAGAGTCATCCTGGACCTGGTAGAAAGTTGGTGCATTAGTTCCAGGAAAGCTGATGTGAAAACACAATAAACAACTAGAAAACTCACCATCTGATGCTTCATCTGATTTAAATTTCTTGAAATATTTAACACATGAAGCTTCAATGACTATATCAGAAAACACACAAAAAAAAGTTTTTATTAGAAAGATAACAGAAAATTCAAATTTACAAAAGAGAAGACAAGTTCACCTCACAACGTTGAGCCTCCAAAGAGTGTATCATTGCTTCCCTTCTATTTAATAATGTTGTTGGCCTCAAGGTCACAGGCCTTTGGTAGTTCTTTCCTCGATATACAATAATTGCATAACCTTTACTCACTCTCTCAACAGCCACCAGGATACCACCACTTTCCGCCTCTAAGATTCTAGCTGCTGTCTCAATATTTTTCATGCAACGATCTTTTGAAATTATTTTTACAAGTTCCCGATATTTCCAGTGAAGGTGCATATTCTCAACTGTTCCATCAAAGACTCCCCTTCTTCCTGAGTGACAGAAGGAAAATAAGACAAATTATTATCTTACACCAGAATGTAAGGTAAACCAGCAAGTGGAAAAAAATACCTCCAAAAAATAGACACCATTCAGCTCAAAAAAAAAAAGAGTCAACATTGTGACACGAAAATAGGTTAACACTCAGAAAACATATACCAAACAATATTACTGATAAAAAATGTGACTAAACAAATGTAAAATTTGCTAAAACAGAATTTAGGACTGATGAAGATGACAATATCAAGATCAGATATTCCCCTTCACACTAACAGAAAATTTTCATGATGGTTAAATGAAGTACAATGACTGATGAAACAAAAAACTGTAACACAAATATAATAGAACAATATAGCAGACAACTAACCTAGTAAGAGAAATGGTTTCATCCTCAAACCTATTTTCCTAAGCATGTATCTCTCTTCTTCTGATATGGCTTCCTTATCCACTTCAAATTTTGGAGGTTCAACTAAGGGTTCAAGCTCTGATATAAACTTTTCTGCCTTTTCCTTCTTCTTGATAGCCTGAAACAGAATGTTTAAAAATCAAGATGTTTCAGTGAACTACCACATTTTCTCAAGTCCAAATAATGGGTGCATACATTGTCTTCTTCACAAGATCAAGAAATTATATATCATATGGTGAGAGCCTACATTATATTACCTGTGACAACCTGGTCTCCATTCTTTGGAAGGCCACGTTCACTGAAGTTTTCCTACTTTCTAGGGCAAAATTTCTGATCTGCTCAGCCCCTTCTTTTGGTTCATCTGGAAGGGTAATTTTAGAGATTTTTGTTTCAGAAACATTGATAGATGCAACAGGATGGTTTTCATCTGAATTTCTCTTTTGTTTGTTGCTCCCATAATTTCTCCGCTCTTCTATTGCAATTGAGACTGCAGGAGGCAGAAAATCTTTTCCTCTATAAAAGACGATGAATTCCTTATCCCTTGATAGAAGAGTCCCTCCAGTCAGTTGCTGCAATAGATTTAACTTTCATGAAGAATTGACCATAAACAAAATCATACCTAAATCCAAGTCCATATCATATTTTGATATATTATACACATATAGGTTCTCCTGTGGGAATTTCAGTGCCTAAAAGTAGCTTAAAGAACAGGGTTGTATACTAATAACAGATGGATCTATCAAGCCTGCTCCTGTCGATATGCCATGTAAAAGCACTGTGGCTCTGCAACAGTAAATTTTGGTCAAAAGAAACATCATTACCATAGACGGACAACCAAAACCTTGGTGTGCTACTTGCAAAATGCATAGATCTGTTAAGTACATGACTCAGCATGTAATCTTCAAAAATTACAGATCATAAAGTTGCTTAGTCTTATTATAACGATATCTGACACCTGCGGAGATTACTTGGGATGCATCAGTACAAAGAATACGAGAAAATCATAAAATTATCAATTATCTAAATGAAAATCGATAACAAAGCCCCATACAAAACCTTCTTTTGAGATAAAAGAGAACTCAGAGAAGGCAGCAGGAGGAAAAAAAGAGTTCAATGAGGACAACCTACAAGCAAAAATGTGGAACACTTGTCTTCATTTGTAAAAAGCAGGTAGAACTCACGAGCTGGAAATGTTTTGCCTTTTTTTGCATTTTCAGTAAACATTATATGATTCTTACAGTCTTGTGATAAATCTCAATTACCTGATAAAGGCAATCAGGATATACAGGACTTTTTTCTTATGTATAAGTGCTGCAAAAATAAGTAGCCACAGAACAAGCATCTACTATTTTTCCAATAATTGAAAAGACTTTAGCAGGAATCCACCTTTCCTCCTCCCCAATCCTTCTCTCCATATAAAAAAAGACAAGAACTTGCCCAAACCATAAAATCCAGTTAGCAAATGAGCTCTGCACTAATGAATTTCAAGTCATGGTTGAAGCAACTTTCCAAAATTTCACTTACTTGAAAAGTCTAGAAGAAGAATGAAATAGCAAGCTTTCACATAAAGAACAGTGTTCAGCTTATAACAACAACTAAACCAATGAGTGTAGAAAATGGTATGAAACTACAAACCAATCAGGCATATATATGAAAAAGAAAAAGAAGAAAAAGGAGTTCACTTCTGACTGAGAATAAATTACCCATAATTTACCTACCTTTAGTTCCTCAGCCATCATGATGCTGTTTGTGTTTTGTACACCTCTTTTAACGGCAATTTTAGCAATCTCACATCTTTCCCATAACTTAATCATTGAAACAGCTAATCCTTGAAGGTTTCTGCTTCTCCCTTCAAAAAGCCACAGTACTGATGTCAATGTAAGGAAAGCTAATATATATGAAGATAAATTCTAAGCAAAGAATGATTATCTTCTCACCTAATGCAAAGTGACAGGGTAGAGGCCGTCCAAGCCTTCTTAAAATGGTCATTTCTCGATCTGTTAGCTTGGGCTTTATGCCAAACGGGATAAGCCGTAAAGGTTTGCGGAACCCTGGAACAACAGCTGGCAATAAATCAGCATCAACAGGTAAAGGATCACATCCCCACCAATCGGTAAAACGTGGACCCAAACCATCCAACAATCTGTCAGCTTCTTCTTCAAGTTGAACTTCTCCCTCTAGTTGCACTCGCACCTTCTTAGGAGAGCCAACTCCTACTACTAACAAAGAGCGAGCTGGAGCAGTAGGTGATTCAGCAGAAGAATTTGCAGAAATCATTTTTGGTGAATTCACCTCTTGCTTATTGGTTTCTTCATTATACAAACCAGATGGTAAAGAAACTTCATCAAAAATCTCATTCTTCTTGTCTCCATCATAGTAGTATGGATACTTGTAATTTACCCCTCTATACAAGATTATGATACTTCCAGATCTCCAAATAACTAAACCTCCAGTTTTTCTCTGGCAGCAAGAGATCCTAATTAGAAAACGCACCAAGGATGGTTATCAATATGCAAAAGAAGGGTCAACTTATAGTATTACAGTAAAAGATATAACTGTCACCGCAAATAATGAATACCATAAGCATAAATTACCATGTTACCAATATTAAGAAATAATGTACAGTGCAAATTTCAAATTTTCTACCAACTTATACTAGTGGACCCTAATAGTGGTAATCAAACAAAAAAATGTGAAGAACTACACTACTGTGTATGCATGCAGTGATGATAGCATGGATGATAAACATCATTGTCAAACTATGCCATTTACTATTACAAAAAATACAGTATTATTTAATACTTATAGGATAATATTTATAAGCAGCATGATGGTTAGTAAATATATGTTGAGACCAAAACAAGAAACTTATAGGTCAATATTTTGAATCACTTTTAAGAACCTATGTATGTGATAGGTTACAAGAAACAATTACTAACAAACAAAGGTAATATTATCATGGACGTATAAAATAGTACCAAGATAATTGTTTCCCTCTAATGTAAAACCTACATAATAGTATAGTAATAGTGAAAACAATAGTACTTATAAGCAAATAATATAAAGCACATATGTGATCACAATTTCATGCTTATGTGAATTGCATATGTGATATATTACACATAAACAATAACACCACATGCTATAGCTCCATAGGCTTATGTGGAGCAGTCACCACAAGCACATACAGCTTTATAAGGCCACATAGACCACATCTTAAAACCATGGTATGTAATTTCGAATGGTACCGCCCGGTACGAGCAGTACATACCGGTCCGACGGCATACCGGTACGCGGACGGAATGTGCTACAGTGCTACAGTAAGAAGAAGAAATATTTAAAACTGCTCGTTACGCCCTAGTGTACCGCTCGGTATGCGGTACTGTACCGTATCGAGCCAAATTCGAAACACCGGTACGGTACGGTATTGCATAGCTTGCTTAAAACATTGATTACTTATTTTGCTGCATATGCTGAACATACTGAAATATTAAATAAAAATATAAATGAACATATCTAGTTATCTGTACAGATAGTGCTCTGCTGCATATGCTGCACATGGTGAAATACTGAACAAAAATGTAAATGAATATCATAAATCTATTTATGTATGAATATAATAATCAGGGTAAGCTAAACTAGGATTCCTACAAATCTATTTTTAGGGCACACAACTTGCACAGCACGAATATAAAATGTTTTGCAGGGAACTAACACAGATACAGAAGTTAGAGAAGTATATTAAACTGCCAACCTTCCCTGTGAAGACAGTTAATTCTTTCTACATATTCTAAATAAAAGTTCTAAGTAAAAAATAGCTAAAATAGCAGATATCAACTTCCATATATACCAATTAGATTACTTGCAAAAGATCAAAAACAAAGAGAGTGAAGAAAATTTGAGACAACTGTTTTAATTAGTCTATTATTGGAAGAAAAAGGGCACCTTAGAACTAGTCAAAAACTTGAAAAAAATAAAGACAATGAAAATATCTGTTTCTTCTCAAAGGGTCTCCAAAACCAAATTTCAAAAGTACATATATCACCACAGTGAAAGCAACCAGAGGAACTTCAAGAATAGAAGTAACTATATAAAGGAATCCATCAAAATTCTATAGCAGAAAAATAAAAAACATGAAAGCAGTAGAAAAAATGGATGCTTCTAACATAATATACCAAAACTAAATTTAGTCACAACTCAGAACAGAAAGGATACTTCACATAAACACCACACAATTATTACATTGAATGAAGTTTTACTGAGAAACTAAAGAAAATCAAGACTGTACAAGAAGCAACATCACGAGTTCGTCTGCCCTCAAGCATCCATAAAATGATATATTGGATACATTTTGCATCACTGCTTTCGTAGTCACCTAGTCAGGTACAGTTGATATTTTAACTGATCTAGCAGCTTCTGAATGTTTTTAGTAATATATAGGGAAAAATATTAAGATAACTGTGTACCATATTTCATACTTGGAAATATATGCGCACACCAAAATTAGTCGGTGGATAACACATACGATAGTGGGGAAAAAAACAGTCTGAGAAATAAAATGAGATTCCAAGAAGAGACGCAATAAGCAATCAACCAAGAAACATATATTTACATTAATATACAATTCAAATGGAGAAATTGTTTTTCCCTACCACATAACCATGAATGTTTCCTGTTATGAAGCTAACAAGGACTGTCAAACATCGATTGCTAACCATCTTCACTTCTGCCAAGCATTTATTTTCAATAAATTTAGTACTAATACGTTTGGTTTAAGGATTGAGGAACACTTAATAGAAATATTAATAAGACTTCAATCAACCACTTTTTGTCCAAAGTTGCAAAACATCATAAAGTATGATAGCTCCAGTAACTGTTTCCTTTTATCTGATGCCAAATTTTGCCTCCTCGTGTCTCAGTACCTGGTTAACAAATGTTTGTTCCAGATTCATATAATATTAGACATTAATATCAAGATCATATAATATAACTCATTGGAAACTTATCATAAGTTAGCCTGTACTGAAATCACGTGCTCATATGAACAAAAATAAATAAGGCTTTTGTTAGTAAGATAAAATGCCAGTCTATCGGATCAAGGATCCCAGAACACAATCCACATGAGAAAGTAATAATCACTACAAACAGGTAAAACAGGAGGAAAAGATGCCAACTTGATATCCCAAACACACCTCCAATATCTCATGAGTTCTCTTCATATTCATCCGGCACAAGTCCTCGCACTTAATCTTCACAAGCTCCGACCTCCGCCACCGTTCATGGATCCCATTCACGATTCCCTCCGTGATCCCAGCCTTCCCCACCTTCAGCCGTTTCGCCAATCGCACCCCCTCCCTCCTCAGTCTCTTCAGCTCCTCCGGCGGAATCGTCAGTTCCGCCACCATGGGGGGCGCCGCCGCATCCTTTGTGGCCCTAGCTGCCGCCTGCCTTTCCTTCTCTCTCCTCCATAGATCGCCAAACCGGTTGATGGTGACCCCCGACCCGGGTTCAGGGACCGGGTGCTCTGGAGTGCTCCAGCTCGAATCGATGGTGTATCCGACGCGACGACTGGGGATTTCCCGACTGGTCGGGATAAAAATCTCGCCGGCGGATCCGCGGCCGGTGGCGGGGCGATCGGCGGCCGTAGCGGGGCCATTCTCGAGGTAGCCGAGGCTGCGAAGCTTCTCGGAGATTCGTTGGATGGCGGATTTGGCGAGGGTTTCCGGGGTGGGATTGGAGGTGCGGAGGTGGACTTCTTTGAGGCGTTTTCTAGGGTTTTGGGAACGGAGAGCGGATCGGGGAGTGAAGGGTGGGAGGAATGGTGGCGATTGAAAGAATGGGGCTTTCGAGGAGGAGGAGGTGGAGGACAAGGAGATGGGAACAGGGTGAGATAGGAACATCGGAGCAGACGAGAACAAAGAGAGAGAGAGAGAGAGAGAGAGAGACTGCCATCAACTCGCCATGGCGGAGAAAGATAAGACTCGAACGGTCCGCTTAAACCCATTCAGGAGCGGAGACATGGATGCAAAGGAGCAATCGCATCTTAGGTCGTATCCAAAGTACCGTAAATGATTAGGTGTTTTATTGACGGTAAATTATAAATTATTCTCTTAACTTAAAAAAATTATATTAACATTTTAAATTTATATTAATATTTTTATAGTTATAATTATAAAAATTAAATATTTGATCTCATGACATAATGAGTTAAATTTATCAATTTTATCAATGACATGATGATCATTTTAGGATTTTATCTTATGTCGGAGGAGATGTAATAGTGGAAAGAGTTCCATTCGAAGATAATATCGTAAATCCACTAACGAAGCCGTTGTCTCATATCATCTTTGAGTGTAACGGAAGTCTAATAGGGATTAGACACATAGGTGATTGGCATTCGAAATAGTTCAAAATCATGCATCAAAAGATTTATCTTAAAATCCTTTACTCTACTAGTGCCTTCGTGTGTGATTTCAAGTGTATGCCAAATATCGAAAGACATTTCGCACATAGAAATTTTATTGAATTCATTTTTGTCTAAGGTGCAAAATTGAGTATTCATAGCTCTAGCATTTAAAGAAAAAGTTTTTTCTCCAAATCATTCAATTCATTCGTTGGAGTAGAAGACTTTTGAAATATGTTTTCAATGATATTCCATAAGTTTAAATCCATGGAAAGCAAGAAAACTCTCATTCGAGTTTTTCAATAAGTATAGTCCATCCCATTGAATATAGGAGGACGAACGATAGACAAACCCTCTTGAAATCCGAAAAGAGTCATTTATCTTGGGTGTTAAACCAAATGAGAAATAACCTGGCTCTGATACCAATTGTTATGATCAAGAGCGACACTAAGAGGGGGGTGAATTAGTACAGTGGATAAAATTACAATGGTTCAAAAAATCTTTCGTATGCTGAAAACCGATCTTGGAAGATGTTAATTTGGAAGAGTAAGGAAGCATAGTAAAAGTAATAAGAAGGCAGTTTGTAGTTAAAGTAAATTGCTCAAAAGAAATGCAAACCAGATTTTTATAGTGGTTCAATCGTCGTGACTTACATCCACTCCATCGA